TGAATAATGTAGTCGATTGTCGTAGCAAGTACAAATTTACGTCGTCGAAAATCCCACCCCAAAATGGGATATGACAAAGAACTAGGCTTCCTTGCTCTGTGACCAAATAGGTTTGTCGGGAGTGCGGCGTAGTGGTTAGCGTATGGAGATTACACACTGCCCTACCACAACCTGGGCTCAAGTCCACTCCAACTGGGCTGAGAATCCTTTTTGAGAAGCACGGCTGTGTGAAATTAATGGGAAACGTGATACCCATTCAGCTGACCGTTGAGACGTCTAACTATTACTTCGAACCAAGATAAATACTGCTCTTGCAAATGTGTTTATTGCTCTTAAGGTTTTCGATTAATGTTTTTTTTTGCTAAACGAGACATTCTGGCTATGACGGTGCCTGTGAACGGGGACACAGACCTCGCACAACCTTACAGCGGCAAGCACACCTGGACCCTTTCCGTCCGCACTTCAGAACAAAACAAACATGCATGCAATCATGAGTGTTGTTGAGGCTTTCAATTTGTATGAAAGTGCATGATGAAGACTCTTCTTGGCCTCATGTTTACTTGAAACCTCTTCAAAAAGGAGTCGCAGCTCCTATGATTTCCGTCATGTGGCAGACAAAAGCCTAGTCCATTTTCACCGGAGACGTGGATCTGCGTTAAACTTGAAGGTCTCGCACCACGACAGCAGAAGTCTTCCGACGAGAATGACCATCATCATCATCATCATCATTATCACGCACTTACATCCAAGACGTAAGTTTCCACAATAAAGTTATCTCAAAAGGCTCATCGAAACCCGGCTATCCTTCGAAAGTGCTGGGCTCACTTCCGTTTCAAGTGAAAGTGTGTATGGTGAAGAGAAATGCAAAGGTCGATCCCACCAGAAGACTTGGCTTGACTGGAACATGCTTGTTGACGCCGTGGCCGAGACAATCTCCTCCGAGTCAGGTGAAGTCGTGATGATCTTTCGTAATGATAATCAAGGCAAGACGGCATCCTTACAAGCGTACTCAAGCAAACGATACGACGAGTAACTAGGCTGCGAGGAGTCTCCTAATACAGCATTGTTGAGGAGACTTTCGTATCAAAGGAAAGTGCATGAAGCAGAGATTGGAAGACGACGTCTGATTCACGTCGTACTGCAGCCGATCGGCTTTAATACGATGTTCCGATTAACGTCGTCCGCGAGACATCC